ACACTGCAGTCTCAGGAGTACAACGCCTGTAGGCAGCTAGACTATTTGACAAAGCCCTCCAATTTGCGAAGAGTTTGTCTATGCCACCACGTGCCAACTGACCCCAAGCCTTATGGTGTGGTTCTCCCCCCTCTTGATTGTCTCTCTCGTCCAACAAGCATCCAAGGTTCATCACATCTTCAGCAGCAAATGTCAGTTTAGCCTAAGATGTCTTTAAAAATCTGGGAAGATAGGTATCAGAATTGTCACCAAGTCTCCTGTTGTTATCGTGGAAAGAGCTCGACGCAGAGGCGCTTCCTTTTTACCCCCCACCCCCACCTTTTCTATTTATTTTATCTATTTATAACTATTTATTTATTCATTTTTGTAAAAAAAATGGACATTCTTTATTAGAACACATTAACACTTGTTTCTGAGAAATTTGAACATTTTTTTTCAAAACCTGAACATCTCTTGTAAGATTTATATACATGTTTTTCACATACAAGCCATTTTTAAGAAAACAACAATTTTTTATACACGTCAATATTGTTTGAATTTGAAACACATGCAAATTTCATTTCACATACAACGTTCTATGTATGCCAATATGTAGATAATTTTTAAAACACGTGAAATTTATTTTTAATAGAAAATTTTGCATTTAATAACATATAAATTTATTACTACTAAATTACTTGTTAGATTTTATATAGAAAAACAAGTTTGCTTAGGGGGATATGGAAAACAAGAGATACAATATAATCCCATGCATTCCGTATATGGGCTAGACTCGATCCCGACCCCTTGCTTCACCGACAGCTCGCTTTGCGGCCTTCTTCGCCATCTTACAATATTTGTTTTATATATTTATAATTATTTACTCATTCATTTTTGTTAAAAAGAATGGATATTCTTTACTAGAACACATTAACGCTTCTTTCTGAGAAATTTGAACATTTTTTTCAAAACCTGAACATCTCTTGTAAGATTTGCATACATGTTTTTCACATACAAGGCATTTTTAAAGAAATGCCAACACTTTTTTATACACGTGATATTTTTTGAAACACATGCAAATTTCATTTCACATACAACTTTTTATGAATGCCGATATCTAGATAATTTTTAAAACACATGAATTTTTTTCATAAAAACATTTACATTTTATAACATATAAATTTTATTATTAATAAATTAATTGTTAAGTTTTATATAGAAAAACAAGTTTGGTTAGGGGGATATGGAAAACAAGCTATACAATTTAATCCCATGCACTCCATATATGGGCTAGACTCGATCCACCGAAGCCCATTCTGCCCCTCTGCCAGCTTCCTCTCTCCAATTCTGTCCTTTCCGCAGTCTCTCCACTCGCACAGACGGCCGGACAACGGCGCAACGCGCCTCCACCACACTCTCCATCCTTGCCCACTCGCCGGCGGCGGTCGGCAGGCATGAGCTTCCCGGCGACCAACTGTCTGGTCGTTCCCGGGAAAATCACTTCCCGACGGCAGCCCTCTTCAAGCCAGTTTGTGCTTCAGGCCCAACCTCCGGATGCATCTTCAGGTTCAGACGTTAACTGAATCTGCGTCGATTCCACTACACGTTCCTGTCCGGACGCAGTGATCCATCACTGCCAAACACGGTATGTTAGCATATTTTATCTCCAATGTGGTGTGAACAAGCTGTGAAGTGCTAGCATTGCTCAAAGGTTTTCTCTGTGGAGTTGATTGTAAAATTATTAGTATTTCTTAATCAAATTATAGGCTAAACCAATAAATTAGTGAAAGAGCTAGTACCAGCCCTATTTATTGGGGAAGGTGCTATATGTTTACTTATAAATAATGCTATTCAATGTACAAATCATTGGTCGTTGGAGATGAATTGCATCGAAAGTACGGTCAACTAAAGCGATGGTTCCATGATGCTTGAGCTATTAAACAAACATGTTCACAGCAACACATATGTAAGTCTGTAACTACTAAGCATTATTGGTTTGAACTGTTCAAAGACCATCATCTGTTTTAGTGTACTGAAGAACCTGTCAATGCTAGCGTTGCTCAAAGGTTCTCTCTGCGGAGTTGACTGTATAATTATTATTTCTTGATTGGACCATAGGCTAAACCAATGAATTAGTGAAAGAGCTAGTACCTCGAAGTTCCTGCCAGCTTTGCTTATTGTGTAAGGTGTTATATATATGCTAACGTGATGAAGAATGCTATTCAAATGCAGAAGCGGATGATGTTAAGAATACAAAATAGCGATGCACCGTCCTCACTCCTCATGCACCCAACCAAAGGCATGTTCTAGTACCAGTGAATATTTGACTTCTCAAGACAAGCATATAATTGGGCCGCTGCCCTTTCGGATGGTCCAAGCACCAAATTAGGCCAACCGTCAGTGGCATCCAAAATAAGAAAGATGTTTAGGGGCGTAGAACTTTGCGTGTTGAAGAGAAAGATCTGCTTGTTATTTGATGTATAATTATACTACGTAAGAATCTTATTTAGGTAGTGGCGAAAACTCAAAGGTACCCAATTGTAGCTGTGGATTCCCTCTTGTCTATATATACTAGACTACAACAAGTCAGGCATTTGACCTTTAACCGCCAATCAGTTAATACAACTACCTTCAGAAGCGAGCTGCAGCCACATATATGCGCAGCTCATGTAGCTAACAGTGTACCTTGTTCAATTAGCTCAAACCCCAGAACAAGAAACATCAAGCCATCATGTGGTTGAAAAACCAGCCACACCTTCACAGCCTCCTGGGCATCCTTGTTCTCTTCATCCTTGTTTCCACAGCATCTGCTGCGAACCGTGGGTCTGACATTCTCGACAAGGGCCGCAACATCACCGACGGCGACACCCTTGTTTCGGCTGATGGGTCATTCACCCTGGGCTTCTTCCCTCCCGGGGTGCTTGCCAAGAGATACCTCGGTATATGGTTCTCCGTGTCCGAGGACGCCATCTGTTGGGTAGCCAACAGAGACCGTCCTCTCACTGACGCTCGTGGGGCGCTGGTGATTAGTGACACGGGAAGCCTTTTCTTGCTCGATAGCTTCGGCCAGGTTGTGTGGTCTTCAAACACGACAGGCGCTGCCTCCACGACGCTGCAACTGCATAATTCAGGCAACCTTGTCCTGAGCGATGGGAGTGCCAATGGTGCTGCCATATGGCAGTCATTTGACCACCCATCAAACACCTTGCTTCCCAGCATGAAGATTGGCAAGAACCTATGGACCAGGGAAGAGTGGTACCTTACGTCGTGGGCTTCGGCCAATGACCCTGCCACAGGGAAGTTTCGCTACATTACTAACGGAGAAGGTGTGCCACAAAACATACTCTTGGATGGTGACAAAATGATCTACCGGTCAGGACCATGGAATGGCCTACGGTTCAGCGGTGTCACGGAGATGACCTCGTATTCTGACAAGTTTGCTTACCGGTTGACAAGCAGCTCAAGTGAGGTAACCTACAGCTATGTTTCCAAGGCTGAAGCCTCCTTCTCGCGTCTACTTCTGACTGATGACGGAGTATACCAACGCCTGGTATGGGACCCAACCAGCCGGTTGTGGAAGATCTTCTTCCAAGCGCCGAGGGACATCTGCGACCACTATGGCAGGTGTGGGGCATTTGGTCTGTGCAACGCCAATGCTCCATCAACGTCGTTCTGCAGCTGTGTACAGGGGTTCAGCCCGACATCTCCAGTGCAGTGGAAGATGAGGGACACCTCCAACGGTTGCCGCCGAAAGATGGTACTGGACTGTGGCAATGGAATGTCCAGTACCACGGACGGTTTCGTGGTGATAGACGGAGTGAAGCTTCCCAACACGCACAATGTATCGGTGAATGCTAGCATCACGTTCGAGGAGTGCAGGGCGAGGTGCCTGGCCAACTGCTCTTGTCTGGCATATGCGCCGTTGGATCTCAAAGGAGGAGGCGCTGGAACTGGCTGCATCATCTGGACAGAGGACCTCATGGATCTCCGGTATGTAGATGGAGGGCAAATCCTTTATCTCAGATCCACCAAGTCAGAATTAGGTATGTTATATTGTTTCACTTTCTAGATCATTAGCAATGTATAGTTTGCATTTTAAGATTTTTGGTGATGCTAATTTACTGTTGTTCCTGAGATGCACACCTCATGGATGCCCCTCCTTACCCATTTCCAACATCTACCATTTTAGCTTCCCAATAGGAAAGTTTAGAGTTTAGGATTTCAACCAAACAAAGCTATACAACTGCAGTTCGTAGATATGTCAACATTCAATTAATCAAGGAATGTGATGGCACAGATGGCTACTGGCTAGTTCAAAGAGCATACTGTACCGACCAATGTAGCATCACAACGCCTACCAGGATTTGAGTCCTAAGCTTAGAACCAAGGCCATGCAACCAGTTAGAAAATATGTTAGGATCACTGCAAGGAAGGTACCAGTTAGATGGCACCAACATCTAATACTGTGTTTCTAGTTTTTTTTAGAAGATTTATGCCTTTGCGCAAATACCAAAGGAAAGTTTAACATTTAAGCTAATTTAAGTTTCAAAATTTTATTGTTCATAATAGATGGGCCATCTGTATCCATGTTCCCAACTGGTATCGTTATCGGTGTATCCGTAGCCTTGATCATCATTCTGGTTCTCCTTGCCTTCTGGGTTATTATCACCAGGAGACGACATCGCATGCAAAGGGTATTAGGTAAGTTCTTAATTATATTAAATTATTAATCGCATTTGTATTTCTTCTTTTACTATTCCGAATGAGAGAAGTAGACTCACAAGCCTAACTATTTTCCAGTACACAATGGTCTGAGGGTGACAGGGGGTTCTGACAGCCATTCTCCGAATCCCGCTTCGCCCATGACGTCCGTCCCTACAATTGATCTCCATACTATAATAGAGGCTACAGGAAGTTTCTCCGATGCAAATAAAGTTGTTGAAGAAGGATTTAGTGTTGTCTACAAGGTGTTGATTTTTTTTCTTATCCATATGAACTGACATTTTTCCCACGTTGACTACACAATACACAAGGAGATAATAGAATCAGACAATCCAATGGCACCCTTCAGTAATTAATTGCATGCTGCAAATATCTGCTGGATCTACACTGTAACATATTACTGTATAATCAACAGGGGCAACTACCTGGTGGTACAGTGGTTGCTGTAAAGAGGCTCAAACAGTCTCTTCTTACTGATAAAGGCAGGCAGCATTTCTCAAGGGAAGTGGAAGTGATGTCAACGCTCACCCATGTCAATCTTGCTAAGCTCCTCTACTATTGCCGGGAAGGAGATGAGTGGATACTAGTCTACGAGTGGATGGAGAAAAAAGTTTGAATCTTTACATATTTGGTACTCGTTGCAATGCATGCCATGTTAATCTATCATTATATGTACCCACAACTATTCCTATCTGTTTTTGGCCTCACACACCCATTTGGAAATGCAGGAGAAGAAGGACTCCGTTCCTCACTAAGTTGGGCGCAAAGACGGGAAATAATTCGAGGTGTGGCCATAGGTGTTGAATTTCTTCACGGCAGAGGATTCATTCACAGGGATCTAAAACCTGCGAACATACTTGTCAGTGACACGTGGGTTCCAAAGATAGCAGACTTTGCCACCGCAAAGCTATTTATTGACGAGCAGACAGATTTGACATTAGTACAGACACGGTATGATTAAAATTTCCAACCCATCTAATGTTTTCATATTCATGGTAGACTACCAGGACAAACCTCAATTAACTCCATGTTTTGTGTTAAATGCAGGGGATATGTGGCTCCAGAGTATATAGGGGAAGGGGCCCTGACGTACAAGTGTGATGTATATAGCTTCGGAGTCGTTTTGCTGGAGACAGTCAGTGGCAAAAGAGAACAAGCAATGCAACGTTCCTTCCTGATGTATGTCTGCTCAGCACAAAACATACTCCTCCCTGGTGCATCCTCTAGTTTCTCCCCAATGAAAATGGGCCACTAGCTGAGCTTTTTATTCTTTCTTTCTTACAGGCCTGGGAATTGTGGAATCAATGTAAGAGCGGGGAGCTTCTTGATGTGGCGGTGGGTGGTGAACCTGAAGGTGAAGTCTTGTCGGGGCTACTCAGATGCATCCAGATTGGCCTTCTCTGCGTGCAGTATTTGCCAGAGCATAGACCTTCAATGTCTGAAGTTGTGGCAATGCTAAACAACAGCTCACAGCTCCCCAGGCCACTGAAACCCACACCAAACAGCAGACCAGGACCAGGCGCACAGCCAGGACCGAGCCGGACCTTCTTACTGTGGCTATTTTGCTCATGTGGACGTGACCCCACGAGCCCAGGCATGGAAGCTACGGTGTAGTGCTTCGGTCTATCAGGGTGAGGCAGAGGCAGTGGCAGTGCAAGAGGAAATAAGCCTAAAACTTACTACCGGTCTGGATCTGGAACTTGCGGCATGAATTTGATGTTTATTGGTGTACTTTAACACCAGATATCGCCATTGTTTTCCTGTCTGGATTTGTGCTTTTTCAAAGTACGACGGGATTGTTGGAACTTACTGCCAGCCTTGGAAGTCGATGTTTTATTCTTGTATATATACTTAAGCACAGTGTATCGCCTTTGTTTTCATTTTCATATTTGTGCTTGTTCAAATATTACTTGGCAGTATTGATTGAACTTTTCTTATGAGAATGATATAATATTTGGGGGTTGTTTTGTATGTCACTTCCATACCTCCATGAGCAGGCTAAACACTGCAAAGTGAACTGTTATGCAGTCTAGTGCATAGCAATCAGGACAGTACGTAGATCTTGTGTGTGCAAGTAACATGATGCAGTACGTTATTGGTTTATAATTTTCATAGATTTCCCCCCAAGATAAAAACAAAAATTAGCTGAGAAAAAAAATGGGAAAGAAGAAACAGGAGTAGTAAACTGAGAGATGGAAAAAAAGCACAAGGCACACTATGTCAGTGTGGACAGCTAGCTGCAGACATGCGCATTGTGGAGGCGCGCATGTAATGTCCAACGCATCATTTAACCATTTCAATTTGTAATAGCTAACCACATCTGCCACGTGGTTGATACCCTGGCCCGGAGAGCTGTTAATAAACTAGCCAAAGTCAATCTAGCTAAGCGGTGTGGTACTAATAACGAAAATACTACGCACCGCGGCTCGAGCCGGAAACTACGCCTCCGCAGTTGGGCCACATCACTGTTGTCTTTCGAGCGTCCAGCTTAGCTTTCCGCACTGAGCCAGGCCAGGCCCAGCAGCGGGATAGCAAGAAGAAAACAGAGACACTGCGCTATTTTTGAGGATATGGGCTGGAATCGGTCTACCGAAGCCCATCATGCCGCTCAGCCCGCTTCTTCCCCGACTCCGTCCTCTCCGAGAGCAACTGGTTAACGAGCGCTGCTCCGGGAGCCTCAACGATCAGTGCCACTTGACGTGCTCTCAGCCATTTGCCACGTGTCGCGCTTTGGGCTTCCTATGGATTTTTTTTTCGCACGCGTTTTCGGCTTTTTAAACGTTTTTTTCGGCTTTTTTCAACGTTTTGGTTTTCCACCGGTCTTCCTTAGCTTTTCGATAAAAAAAATTAAAATTTTTTTTGCGTGGAAAACGCGTTTTCTGTTTTTTTTTCTTTCACGAGAGTCATGGTTTTGCTTACGTGAGAGGCACGGGTGTGCTTTCGTGAGAGTCAAGGCCGTGCCTCTCGGAAACAGAAAAAAAATGCATTTTATGTTTTTTTCTCTTTCGCGAGAGTCACGGTTTTGCTTTCGCAAGATGCACGGTTGTGCTTTAGCGAGAGTCACGGCCGTGCCTCTCCGAAACGAAAAAGACGTGTTTTCTGTTTTTTTCGCGAGAGTCACGCCCGTGCTTTAGCGAGAGTCACGGCCGTGCCTCTCGGAAATGAAAAAAAACATGTTTTCTGTTTTTTTTTGCGAGAGTCACGGTTTTGTGTCCGCGAGAGGTACGGTTGTGCTTTCGCGAGAGTCACGGTCATGCCTCCTCGGTAACGGAAAAAGAACGTGTTTTCTCTTTTCTTCCTTCCGCGAGAGGCACGGTTGTGATTTTCTGAGAGGCACGGGCGTGCCTCTTTCGGAAAGGAAAAAATCCGTGCTCCCGGTCAGTTTTATCGTTTGGTTTTTTCACGAAAAAAACCTTCATCAAAACCTATCAACATCGAATCTAGGTTTGAAGATCTCGATGCGAGGAATCTAACGATGAAAGCGGTTCGAGATTTGGACGCGCAGTTTGAGAGATAAAACGTTTTGAATAAACGGATCTACAAAAAAAGGGAAAACGCTGCTGTGCGCCACTTGTCGCAATCTGGGGAGTTGGGAGTGATCTTTGCAACGAGTACTCCTCAATTAGTGATTTTGGTCTTCTCCGCTCGCACGCACGCACACACGGCCAACCCCACAGGAACGACACACCCCGTCACTGTCCACTCGCAGGCGGCGGTCAGCAGACGTGAACGTACAAGTGTGATGTATATAGCTTCGGAGTTGTCCTGCTAGAGATAGTCAGCTGCAAGAGGAGAACAAGCATGCCAACGTTCCTTCTTCATGCAAGTCTGCTCATGATAAAACGTACTCTTCCTTATGCGTCCTCTAGTTTCTTCCCACTGAAATGGGTGCAAAACTGCAAACTAACAATGAACGGGTAATCTTTGTTCAGTTTGCTACACAAGCCCAACACACGTTTCAAACATAGCCATATCAAACAAAGATGAGCGGTACTCCATTAACCGAGCATATTTTTGCAGGCCTGGGAACTATGGAATCGTCGCGATATTGAGGAGCTTCTTGATGAAGAAGTGGGCGAACCTGGTGAGCTCTTGTCAGCACTAGCCAGGTGCATCCAGATTGGCCTTCTCTGCGTGCAGAATTTGCACCAATCACCTGAGAAGGACAGGCCTGCCATGTCTGAAGCTGTGGCAATGCTAACCAGCACTGACTCACAGCTCCATTTACCAAGTAAACCGATTGTTAACAGGGCACCTGGCCCGAGCGTACAGCTAATCTCAGATGACACCCCCGGGCCGAGCACCATCTCTCGCTCGGCACATCCTGCGGCAAATGCAGTGTATGATTCGTGATCATTTCGGGCTGGGTCCTTCCGGTTTGAGTGCCTCACCATTCCTTACGGCTTCATTGGGACGGTGCAAGCGAAATAAGCCTTAAATTTACTACCAGGCGGGTACTTGCGTTCTGAAGTTGATGTTTTATTTGTGTACTTTATTGAAAAAGGCTTTCGCCCCATTTTATACTGGACATCGCCTTTCTTTTCCTGTCTGAATATGTGCTTGTCCAAAGTATGACAGAATTTTTGGAACTTTCTTATGTGAACACTGTAAAGTGAATTTTTATGCAGGCCACTAGGCCGTGCACCATTCAGAGCTGAGTCCAGTTCAAAGGATGGGAACATCTTGCGCTCTGAACTGGTGCATAACCATTTAGTATAGTCAGAGCATCTCTAGCAGACCCCTTAAACCGCGAAACTGAAAACCTTCGCGGAAAACGCATTTTAAGGGTTGGTTTGGGTTGCGGCCAAGTAGACCCCTTAAACATAGATTGTAAAATCAAATATTCTCGTATATTCTTCCTCACGTCTTCTTCTTTCTCTCGCCCATCCACGACCACCTAGCTCACTTCCACAAACCCGACGGACAGCGCACAAAGCGACCAAATACGGTGCCGCCGGTGTCCAGCACGGCTCGCACGAAGCGCCCCAGCGTCACCGTCGCCGTCGCTGCTGGAATTGGTCCAAAAGCTGGCTAGCGCCGGCATCGAATCGATCCAGAGCTAGCTAGCTGGCTGGCTAATCGATCGACCCAGGAGCTAGCTAGCTAGCTCCCGTCGCCGTGGCCAATCGATCCACAAGCTAGAGCTAGCTTCCCTCGCCGTAGCTGTCAAATACGGAGCCGCTGGTGTCACGAAGCCGCCGCATCTCGTTTACCGAGCCTCCGAACCGGATCAGCCATGGCCTCAGGCACACGCTCGATCCTTTTGTAGTGCACAATTTTATTGGAGTAGGGAGAAATCGATGGCTGGAGACGGATGGTACGTATGGCGGCGCGTGGGGATAGGCGGCGGAAGGATCCGGTTCGTGGCATGTATACTGTCATCGGACATGTAGAACTAACGGTTGGAGGCTAGTGGCCTGTAAAACGTTTACAGTTCCGTGAACTTCTACAGGTCTGTTTTGGACACAAATTGGTCTGAAACTGTAAATTTACTGGAATTTTTACAGGTTTGACATTCTTAAGGGGTCTATTAGAGATGCTCTCAGGAGAGTGAATCTTGCGTCGGGAAGTAACCATTAGCATTTCAGCATTGCTGTTGGTGTATAATTTTCATCG